TCTGCCACATACTAGGAATTCACTGTTACTATAACATTTGGGGTAAATATTTATCGGCAGATGAAGGAAGAAGTCGCTCGAAAGAATACTGTCTATATAAAACATTTTAGAAAGAATCCGAAACAAAGCAACTATTTCAATAGTTCCAGACAAAACTAAGAACCTTGAAGTTACCAAGTACCTTGAATCATTTTGTTGTACTTTGCGTCAAAGGAATCTGTGTGGTTACGGCAGCAAAACCATCTCCAGCCCAGGGGCCCACTTCATCCTAAAGCCGGCCCTGCTTCCATTGTTTTTACAGTGCTGTTTTTTATACAAATCGTTAGCATGATTAAACATAGCATATTAGAAATTGATTCAGAAATATTTATCACTAATCAGCATTTTGTCTTCCATTCCACAGTCAACATTTACATATGGGCTCATACGGGTAGGAAATGGGCTGAAATATGGGCTCCATAATTAATTGTTTTTAGTTGGGATACTGACCTCATGTTTACTGCTTATATAACTTTGACAGAGGAAAAACTCTGCTCTACATGGATCATGTGCTGCTCAGTTTGAACTGATTTCCATCAGATCTGTTTTAGAACCAGCTAAGATATGATGTCTGAGTTGTTTTGTACTTGTTTTTATTTTTTATTCAAATCATGTGGATCTCCTATAAACAGATTTTTTTCTTTCTTTTTTCGGAGCGTGAGACCATTTAGAACCCATCCAAACTAAGCCAGATCCTAATGGGGCCTGCCTGCACATATTGGCTGAGCCTAAGCTAACAGCCATTTCTTCTTCTCATGTGTGCAGACTTCTCCTTCATCTGTGCAATATCATTACGCCTCAGGTTATGTCATGTTGCATTCCTCCTACCTCAGGTTTAGGAGACAGGTAGTGAAATTTATTAAGTGTTGGCCGGCTGCCACTGCAAGTGGATATGACCTTAGGATTCTGCAGGCAAGTGCTAGCCTCTTAAAGCTTATCAGCGAGGGCAAGATGAGCAGTTTTATACACCCTGAAGAATCTATAAATGCTTGTGCTTGCATTATGCGCCTGTTATGCTGTGTGACTTTCGGGGCAGGCTGAGGGTCAAAATGTTTTCGTATAGGAAACCAGGGTTACATATCAGATAGTGACCCAGTTTTCTGCAATTGCCTTTCTGGTTAGTGCTGCGCACATGTAGGCACATTGATTGTTAATTGTCTTATGGTCCCCTGATGATAACCCCTGCATTGGGGGTGAATTTATCAAAATACTGAGATGTTTGCTCCACATAGGCTGCAGATCTTAGGAGATGAAAAACTGTACTTTAATGGGCATATTTATCTAGTAAAGAGCTCTATCACCACCACCGCCCCCTCCTGATTGCAGGGTTTCACTATCAGTGTATGTGTTGTCACCCAGTTCTGCTCCCACTCTCACTCTCCTGTGTCTTGCGTCTGTGTTTCTCTCCGTGTGCCTATAATGGATCACTGATTGACGCCCTCCTTCTCCTTCTCCCTGACAGTGGAGAGTTGCCCAGGAGACAAGAGTCCTCCGGGGTCGGCGGCATCAAAGAGGGCCCGGACAGCTTACACCAGCGCGCAGCTCGTGGAGCTGGAGAAGGAGTTCCACTTCAACCGGTACCTGTGCAGGCCCAGGAGGGTGGAGATGGCCAACCTGCTCAACCTCACGGAGAGACAGATCAAAATCTGGTTCCAAAACCGACGGATGAAATACAAAAAGGATCAAAAGGGCGTCGGGATGATGCCGTCTCCTGGCGGACAGTCTCCACGGAGCCCAGTCGGCCCACCTTCCGGTGGGGGCGGCGGCGGAGGGAGCGGATACCTCAACTCTATGCATTCTCTCGTTAACAGTGTACCGTACGAGTCTCAGTCTCCAACCTCTTACAATAAAACTCATCAAAATGCGTACGGTATGGCTACGTCATATCCCCCTCCACTGAGCAATTCCCTCAACAGCTGCCCACCCCCCCAGAAGAGGTACCCTGGGACTGACTCGGCCACGCCCGAGTATGACGCGCACCACCCCCTGCACGGCAATGGCAACTATGGCACCCACATGCAGAGCAGCCCCGTTTACGTCGGCGGAGGCTACATCGACTCGGTGCCCAGCTCCGGGGCCTCAGTTTTCGGTCTCACCCACCTCCCTCACCCGCCTCCTCCGTCCGCGAGCATGGAGTACAACGGGGCGATTACGATGGGCAACAGCGGCGGTCAGCATCACGGCGTGTGTGATGCGACGCCGACGTACACAGACCTAACGCCGCACTACTCTCAGGGAAGAATCCAGGAAGCGCCCAAACTGACGCATCTGTAGCATGCGGCGCGAGCCCGGATCACTCCGCCCCATTGTCTCATCCAAGCTCCAGACGTATCCCCCTGCTTTGTTTCTGCGCCTCCTCATGGCTCCCACCTTCTCCTTCTGCCATTTTTTGTTTGTTTGTTTATGTTCTCTATAGTTTCATGTGTGAATTAGCGTAGGACAAATAATCACGACTTGCTTGAATTCTCCTCTATTTGCTTGTGTCATTGTCTGACCAAGACCTTTATGTACCATAGAGTGTCTATAGAGCCGAACGGAGGGAGGGAAGAAGGGCATAGCATATCCATAGGCTTATTTAATCTTTTCCTTTTTTTTTTGAAACGTCTTTTTAAAAATCTCAAACAGGGTATTATGAACACATGTTATTCATTTTCAATGTGAAACTGTCCGTCTTTATTTATCCGCAATTGAAGAATGATGTTTTTTTTTTTTTTTTTTTTTTTTGCATTCTGTTGCACTTGTGTACAAAAAGACCCTTAAGAGCCAGGAGCTGGGAATGTGAGGAGATTACATTTAAAACAAAGTGTCATGAACGTGCACAGCCTCCCCTTTTGCTTCTGTTTTGTTCCATTGGTCTTTTTAAATGTTATTTATTCAGACTCCAGTAGTATTATTTGACGTCCCTCCAGCTCTGTCTACAAGGGGAGAAGGTTGGTGGAAAAGCTAGCGCCACGTTCGGCCCATATATGCAGTCATGTCACTTAGATTGCAGGTTTTCCCATTTGTTTCTTTCTTAGTATTATTATTGTTATTATTCGCGGAGGTGTTTCTATTTTGTCAGCGAATGAAAAAAGAAACCAATCAGTCATGCAATAAGGGTGGAAAGAAGGACACACGTTTGCAGTTTCTTTATTGAATAAAAGGCAAAACACATCATCATATTTTTTTTCTTCTTCTCGATGTCAAACATTTTATGCTGCTCCAGTTCGAAGAATCAAATAAAAGCATTGAAGTGAAAAAAAAAACAAAACAAAGCAAAACATATTCACCCGTTTTAATTTTAAAATTCGCCAGCAGTTTCACATTTACATGATCACACAACGCTGTTTAATTCAACCCAAAAATATATATCTAAAAATAAAAAGGGGTTATCAGCGTTTGGTATGGGATCATCGGGAAAGCAGCGTCAAAAATAACGCTCTTTCAAAACTGCAAATATTATATTCATAAAGGAAATGTCATAAAATAAAGTCCTACCAGAAATAATAAAAATATTTATTTTAAAGAAGAGTCAAAACTGCTCCGCTTTAAATGTAATTTTTGTAAAACAAAAAAACGACAACAACTCGCAGATAAAAAAACAAACAACAACAAAAAAAAAACACATGATCTATTTACTCTCTCCTCCTTGAGGGTGGGCCCCCTTCTCTTTCCCAGCGCGTCTCTCTCATCTGCGTGGGCACATCCATAATAATAAAAATGTCACCCGGGTCTTCCTGGAGGGTTCTGCGGAGACAGCAAGCCAAATGAGAAATCGTTTAAAAATAATCCCGCCTATGTGTAAAGCCAGTCAAACGCCGCTCACAGAGGACGCACTCAAAAGTACAATAATCAAGGACCTTATTTGCTCAATCAGACCCTGAAATGTGCAGATTTTGATGCGTAAAATCCGGCCACACCAGAACCGGGGGGAAAACAAGTGCTAGCCATAGATGGCTGCAAATATTTGATGTTGGTATTTTTATCTTCAAAATTAAATGCCAAACTAAAATATTACGAATAATTATTTTTCTCATTGCTTGTCATGATGATCGTACATACTTTTAATTACAATGCAAAACGCAAGCCAGGAGCAAAGGTATTGAATGCAGAAGGCCATCGAAATAAATCTGTGTGCAAAGATTATCTACAAGAAACCTCTGACGGATTTTGTTTATTTCTCACAATATTTGCTCGCCTTAATGTATTTTTCCTTCTGTTTTTTTATTATTATTTTTCTTCCAGCTCTCATTTTCAACCTAGCATGATTGATATCAGAGGGCACGAACATTACCAGCCCTGACATATGGTTAGCAGGGAAACCTAGAACAATTGAAGCATGGTGTGTCACGGAGGGGGGAAAAAGGGCCAGTGTTATGAGAATTTCTGTATCCAAAACAGAAACACGCATGCACACGCGTTACGCAGCAGGACAGCGATTTGACCCACATGCGCCAAACGCAGGTAGCACACAAATAAATTGTGTCTAAATTCAAAATTGAGCACACGCGGTGTTTTCTCTTTGCATTCGTGTGAAATTGCGCCCTAAATCACTGCAGCTCTAAAGATAAGTGTGTGGGACGCAACGGGCTCCCCTAAATGCCGCCACCCACTCCTGTCCGTGCACACAAAGCCTGCGCGCAATTCCAAAATAGCCATCAGTCTCTTCTCTTAGCAACTCGCCACTGGTCCTTTCGCAGACATGCAAATCTTAGTAAAAGAAAAAAAAAACTAAAACAAACAAAAAATTGAATTTAAACAAAAAAGCCAGGTGGGGAAGCCAGCTTCACCACATACTCACCGAGAGGAAATGGTCGCAGCTTGTGTGACCAGATTCCTTTTTTTTTTTTCTTGTTCTTAAAAAAAATCCCTCCAGCGACAAACAGACTACCAGTGCGAGCAGAAACCGGTTCTAATCTGAGTGACCACTGTTTCTCGGCGCTTCCTGGCTGCATTTGATCCGGGGGAGAGTTAGAAGCCTTAAATGTGTTGTGAGGGCACCGAGCTGTCAGACCTTTTGGCGAGTAAGATTGATCGCGCACAGGCTTCCAGGACTCTTTGTTTGGTATATAAGCAACAAACTGAGAGAGAGGCCTTCCATTTCTTCTCCTTCTCTACTTCCCCTCTTCTTACTCAATAAGCCACATATAGATATACATTTTGTGGACGAAAATACCCCATGTACTGCCAGACGAAATAAAAAAGAAGGAAAAACTCCCTGAATGTGGCTTTTACAGATGCTTCCAGAAGAGCAATATGAAACTGAGCACGAACAAGGGAAGAGAGCAGCTCAATAGCATTCCCATCAGCATAATAACGCTGGCAAATGGATTTCGTTGTAAAAGGTCAATTGTAACAGTGTTTATGCTTGCTCCATGACCATTTCAGGTAGGAAGGATAATAGAAATACATTGGGAAGCTCAACCCCCCCCTCAAGCAAGTGTGGCAATGGCCGTCCAATAAATCTTTGCTTTATGCAGCCTTGTGGCTTTGCGCCCCTGACATGGAAACAAGACTATTTTCCAACGCCGCTTATAAAAGAATGCAGTAATCGTGGCTGCTTTGAGTCATCAACAGAGATTCTGTGTTTCATCACGGGTTTATGAGCTCGACCTTTTAGTGAAAGTGAACGAAAATCTGCCTTAATGCTACTGTTACATGGCTCCAAACACGCATATGAACGTCTTTTAAAGGTCTATTCAAGGCTTGTCCATTCTTGTTTTGGTTTAGCGCCTGAAATACGAAGTTATTTTCGAGGTATCGGTTCCGCCCAGTTTTTTTTATTTTTTTTATTTAAATTTTTTTTTTAATATATAAACAAATATTTTTGAAATTTAGGCTAGGTTAGCCCATTTGATCACCACCAATCATATTTCGACCCTTTCACTTTTCAGAACATTGTCTTAATATAGAGATAATTTGTTTGTCTATTAAACAACAACAAAAAATATATATGTAATTGGTAATCAAAACCCTTTTAAACGTGACAAACGTCTTTTAACGTCTGACTTTTCAGCTGCCTTTTTAGGCTGTTTAGATGGTGAACCATGGCATCTGTTTATGTATTCGTCAACGAGTTTTTCACCATTTATAACCAGAACCTTTCACTTCTCGACCACACTTCCACATTGTTGAGATACAAGGTGACACATGCTCTTATTTTGCCATTTAAACCACGTTTTCAATATAGTTTTTGAAAGTGTCCTTTTGAAAGTCATATACAAGTGTCCTTGTATATGACTATCCAGAAATGTATTGTATTTCCCTGATCAGTGGTAATGTGCTCGGCGGAAAGCGTTGACTGTGCAAACATAAGTGTACGACAATTTTTTTAAACACCGCTTGGTCATTGTCTGAGAAAAATAATCAGAAGTTAACAGAGCTCAGCTGACGTCTTTGAGTGGGCGGTCTTTTCGTATTTCGTCTCGTTAAGACGGAAGACGAAACACGACCTGATGTCTAATGAACGAACCTTTGCTCCGGGAAAAGAAGTTGGGCTGAATTTGAGTCGAAGGTCTGTCTGTGTTTCAAACCATGGCGACCGATTGAGAAAAGTGAACGTCTTGTTGTCAGTGAGCATGCTTCGCCCCTCACCTGGACCAGTTTCAATCAACCGCAGTCTCACTTTGCTCAATTACAATTCTACCAAACTTTGCTTAGTGGAATAATATGGACTTTTTCTCATTTTCAAAGAAAAATAAATAAAATACAAATAAATTATAAAAAAGATAATTAAAAAAGTTGACAAAGGTTAGTTGTTCTCATAATAAATGGCCGTATTTGTCAGTTTTGTCAAATTATATGGATTTTTGATCTGGTTAGTTTTACAGCTTTAATTGATGCTTAACAACTTACGTGCGTTCTGATTACAAAACTCTCAAGTTTTGAAGTTTATTTTTCACCCCCAGAGCTTAAACATGAAGCGGTACTAGCGCGAAATGTGTGTCTGTGTCTCTCTCTCTCTGTGTGTTTGTGTGTGCTTTGTGATGTATGTGTGTGTGTGTGTGTGTGTGTGTGTGTGTGTGTGTGTGTGTGTGTGTGTGTGTGTGTGTGTGTGTGTGTGTGTGTGTGTGTGTGGTGGGGGCGTTCTCGACTGACATCCTCAAACAATACGAGAAAGAGGAGTGCACGAATCCGCGCACCCTGAGCTGGTCTCCTTCCCTGTAATAGAGAGCGTCAGGCGCTTCTTAAAAAACACATTTTGTGGCTTAGTGGACTGGACTGGAGGAGCGAGGCGAGGACGAGCCGAGCGGACAGAGATGTAAATAAAAACAGTCGTGCATGGCCCAGCTGAGCGAGGACTTTTTTTTTCTCCTTTTGGATCAATCAGGCAGAGAGAGGCTTCTTTTGATTAAGCCCCAAATTGTCATTGGGCAGAGGTAATCATGTGACAGGCAATTCGGTCCAATTTCAACCTTGTCTCCATGAATTCTATAGTTTAATGGTAGCTCCGTCCCCATACGGCCGTAATCACTGAAATAGAAAAAAGCACACAACAGGGGATTTTTTTAAAATATATATTTCTTTTTTTTTTTCATCGTCCTCACTGAGCCGCAACGTTTGTAAAAAAAATACGGCGCTGCAAACTTTCCTCGGCTCTCAGGGAGCGGAGATGAATTACGAATTCGAGCGAGAGAGCGGTTTTATCAATAGTCAGCCGTCGCTTGCTGAGTGCCTGACATCTTTCCCCCCTGTCGCTGATTCATTTCAAAGTTCATCAATCAAGAGCTCGACGCTTTCACGCCCGACACTGATTCCTCCTCCCTTCGAACAGACCATCCCCAGCCTGAACCCGGGCAGCCATCCGCGGCACGGTCGGCCCAGACACAGCCCCGATGGCTGCAGCCCGCTGCCTACCGCCTCCTTACCCCCGGAGTACCCGTGGATGCGGGAGAAGAAAGCCTCCAAGAGGAACCAGCAGCTACCGCACTCCGCCACCGCTGCTGCCGCCGCCACCACCATCTCCAACGGGCCCGTGTGCTTCTCCCCGAAAGGTGGGTGAATCCTAATCGACAACGCCTTCGCTATCTGTTGCTGCATTTGGAGGCACCCGGGCCCTTTCTAGGAAAGACAATATAAGCGGATGAATAATAATAATTAAAAAACCCATATGCTTGAGTATAGCTTTATTCTGGTGGATGAATATGAGTGTGAAGTGTAGGGGGGAAAGTTTGGGTAAAGTTTGGTGAGGTAAGATGATTTATTCCCCTCGGCGAGGCAGAGTTTTGATGTGTGACAGTAATGAAGAGTGATGGAGTGCCTTTGCCGAGGAGGGCAGCTGGAGCATTCATTAGACTCCCACACCAGGGTGGACCTCAGTGTTTTAGAGCGCTTTACGCACACGAAGCCATATATTTTATTGCCTAAAAGAATCAAATGAAGATTTTATATCAATACAGGCATTATGTTTGGGTAAAATGTGCAGGTTAACAGCTCCAGCGGCCATTTTGCTTCATGTAAAACTCAAGAGCGTCGCACTTACTGGCAGCGGGGTTATGCAATTGTTGTACCCGGCTTTCCCCCCCCCCCACCCCCCATTTTCTTTCTTTTCTTTTCTTTTTTTTTCTTTTCTTTCTTTTTTTTTTAAGAATCCCTTTGCTGTTTATTTTTCAGGTTCGCCCGAGATCGTGGAGGGAGCGGGTGGAGGAGGGGGCTCCCGCAGGCTGAGGACCGCATACACCAACACGCAGCTGCTGGAGCTGGAGAAGGAGTTCCACTTCAACAAGTATCTGTGTCGGCCGAGGCGGGTGGAGATCGCGGCCCTGCTGGATCTGACCGAGAGACAGGTCAAGGTTTGGTTCCAGAACCGGCGCATGAAGCACAAGCGCCAGACTCAGACCAAGGAGAACCACGGAGGGGGAGACACGAAGGGCCCCGGAGCCGACGACGGCATCCACAGCGAGGAGGACGAGGAGGGGAGCGGCCTGCTGTACGAGCAGAGTGGGCCCCTCCTGGAGAGAGATACCTGCTCCTTTCAGAACAACACACAGCAGCCCCCGCCGCAGCAGCAGCAGCTTCACAATAATGGAGAGGCGGCAAGCTATGACAAAAATCTGAAACATTTTCCCAACCCGTCACCCACTGTTCCGGGCTGTATGTCAACAATAGGCCCGGGATCGGCATCTGGGCCGGACAAAGGCGACAGCCCCTCAGCCCTGGATGTTTCTTTGCACGACTTTCAGCCTTTCTCCTCGGATTCCTGCCTGCAGCTCTCGGACACAGCCTCGCCGAGCTTGTCGGAGTCTCTGGATAGCCCCGTGGACATTTCCGCGGACACTTTCTATTTTTTCTCGGAGTCTCTGACCACAATCGACCTGCAGCATCTGAACTATTAACTCAGAATCAAACAAACAAAAAAAGATTCTTCACATTTTCCTTGTATGCGTGTGTGTGTATGAGAAAGAGAGAGAGAGAATGTGTGTATGAAATCAGGCTTCGAAGGCATTAATTCATAGGCATTTATTCTCTTGATATTTGACTTGACGATTAATACAAGGTAAGGACAGAACTAAATCACTGAAATAGCTCTGCTTATAGATTAATTACCATAACAAGGTGATCATTTGGAATAGAAATTACAAGTGTGCGGGTCTAAGAGGGAAAGTGTGAGTGTGTGTGTGTGTGTGTTAGAGAGAGAGAGAGAGAGAGAGAGAGAGAGAGAGAGAAAGTAATCTAACAGTGTTAGGTCAATACGGAACCGGGTCGTTTTTTATTTTTGTATAGTTTTCTTGGATATTTTTGTTAGAATACAAACTAACTTCCTACAATCCTTCTGCTTGTGTTTGACTCTTTTCTTTTTAACATTTCTAGAGTGTTTTTTTTTCCGTTTCCTCGTTTCCTGTAAGACGCATTTAATCAGAATGCGAGAGTAAGCGGCCTCGTAAATCAACAACAGGTTGGTAATGAATATAAATTATCGATTTGCATTCATTTCTCGACGGAAGACTTGTTTGAATGAAACAAAGAATTTAGAAAAAAAAGTTTTTCATCACTGACGTGTAGAGAAATAAATTCCACCCTCTAGTCATTTCTAGTAAAACCCAGCTATTTACATATTTTTCAAACAAAACCTTAAATAAATACAGATGAAACGTAAAACGAAAACGGAGAATAAAATAGCTACTCCACATTTCCGCACAACAGGCTTATTCATTAATTTCAAAATACCTCAACTTAAACGTGCAAAGAAGTTTAAGAATAATGAGATCGATATTGACACTTCTAACTTCCAAACTAACTCCGTTTAAAGAAAAGGAAAAAAAAAAATCTCAGTAAAATTTCCTGTGGAGATCTTCGCTGTTATCACTGAGTGCAAGTTGCAGGCAAATAACCGGAGCCATGTTTGCCTTCAGGAGCTCATAAATCACCCCCGTGGCATGAAAGAGACGGACGTTAAGGAGAGCAATTGTCGCGTAATGTGCACAAATAATAAAAAACACCCACTTACGTTTTCATACGGGACTCCCCGACTCCTAAAACTAAAAAGGGGCCCGAGTCACTGCATGCGTTTGGTAATAATTCATTTTTATAGCTTGTTTGAACATGGCTCATGGCTCAGAGACAGAAGTATCAGTAGCAGCAGCAGCAGCGGCAGCGGCCGGTTCAGGATTAAGAGGCCGCGCTCAAACTTTAACCATGACTCCTTTCGGAATATCGGACATTTATCAAATTCACTCGGAAGAAAAGCTTTCTCAAGTAGAGATTATTGTCTAAGCTTGTTTAACAGGAAATTAGGCGTGTTTGGAGAGTTTTTTTGTTTTTTTTTCACCACATTACTGGATGCTCGTGTGTTTCAGCTGTGCCTTAAAGCCTCCTATTCAATAAAGGATTATTTCTAATCGTGCTCAATGTGACTCCTCGTCAGGAATTGGGTTTTACTAGATCCTATATTAAGTCAACGAAACACATTTGAGCCTGATGCTAAAACAAAACAAAACAAAAAAACACCAGTTGCAGTGATTCGATGTAAAAACTTTAGCACATCAACTCGCAACTTTTCACCGAAAAGTCTGAAAGCTGAACAACTGTTTCTGCTTATTTATTATTTTTTTTGCGAATAGTTTGGAAGAGTTACATGTATCTGCGTGTGTGCAGAGGGGGTAGGGTGGGCATTGGGGGACGAGAGGGTACGAAGTGAGGCCAAAAAGTGAATTCAACTGTTTTCTCTCCCCTGCTTTTCCGACTAACCCTGGTGGAGGCCGTTTCAAACCAAATCATTCCGAGACAGCGCGCCTTTTCTGTGCTCCTGCAGCTCACACAAAGAGCCGTGAAAAGCCTTCCGAGGTTCCTGCATGCGGCGAGGCTGCATCTTTCCAAGAGCTCAGTGAGGCAGGAGCCTTCGCCCACTCACTGCAGAGGCAGCTGGAGGAGACAGAGAGAAGAGGGAGGGGGAGAGGTGGGATCTGAGGAGAATTGAACCCAGTGGGCTTTTTCCAGCCCTCCCCTCTGATGGGAAGTTTCGAACAAGTTTCACTTTATTTTCATTTAATTTTATCTGATGTCACATTTCCCCTTATCGACATCGAAACTCGTAAGGACGTACAAAGGTAACCTCTGTTCAACAGAGAAGCTGCAGAAATAAAAATAAATAAATAAATTAAATTAAAAAAAGGACAATACGAAATTTAAAATGTTGATCTCACTATAATTCACTCGATGCACTTTAATCAGAAAGCTAAGCATGTTTAATCGAAACCCACAACAGATGTTTATTGACGCCTTAATGTGTTCAAAAAGTTGTTGAGGTTGGTTTGTGAAATGGGTTATTCAAGCGGAGTCTTTTACGTAAGACTACATTTGAAGCGACGGCCTAAAAAAATGAAATTTTAAACATAATTTCCACCTATGACGTAATAGGTTAGCCAAGCCTGACTTCTTTGACAGTGCTCAACTTGAAGCTAAGGCCTTAAAAAAGTCACTTTTCGAACATATTCCCCAGACTGAAAAAAGAAGGCGACCACTGACGTTTTTTCAAACGTCAGTGGTCTGAGGGTTGAACTCTCTCTGTCAGCAGCGTTGTGGGTGTTTAGCTTCTCTTGGCCTCTGGGGGCGCTCGCTTCTCCACGAGATCCTTTACTTCTCCCTCCCCTTTCTTTTCCTTCCTCGGTGAGAGGTTGTGCATCTGCCGCAAGTCTCCCACGCATACTCACCCCCAGCCCCTTCCCCCTCTCTCTCTGTGTCTCTCTCTCTGTGTCTCTCTCTCTGTGTCTCTCTCTGTGTCTCTCTCTCTGTGTCTCTCTCTGTCTCTCTCTCTCTCTCTCTCTCTCTCTCTCTCTCTCTCTCTCTCTCTCTCTCTCTCTCTCTCTCTCACTCCTGTTCTTTTCCGTGGCCATTCGTTTCTCCGGCAGCTTTATTTGATGATCTTAACAGGATAATCAGCCCACACTCACACCTCGGGCTACATAGGCGCATTTAAGACCTGTTCTCATTATTATATCATTTGATCACTGTACATGTGTAATGAATACATGTGGGAGTGAAACCGCAGTAGATGGCAGACCCTCTGACCTGCTAGAGATGAAGAAAAAAAAATTAATACCCCATCATCCTAATGGTAAATGTGTTGACAACCTAAACATGAGGCGGAATACACGTCGTTCTAATCCAGTTGTGGTTTGAATGTTTTTTGTTGTTGTTGTTGTTGATGTTGTTTGTTTTGTTTTGCGTTATTTCATGAATGAAATGAGATCAAAAACCAACTACCAGTTTAGTGCAAAGAGTTTGTTTTGCTTGTGTGTCGTGAAACTACATGTACAGGACAGGAAATTTGAGAAAATACCGTGACAGGGGCGTCTCTTACAGATTTTGTACGGGGCTCCGGGGCCACTATTAATTTCGAAGCAAGACGAAAAAGCCTTAGAAGAATTGCCAGAGCTTTTATTTTGGTATTTTTGTTACAGTTAAATTTTCAGTTAAGTTAAAAATAATAATAAGTCAATATATAAAGTGTAAAATTTAATCTATTATTTTTGTTAAGTGCCAGCTTCCACCTTAAAATCTTTTAAAGGGTATGTTTTCAAAAAGTAAGTTGTTTCAATTTAAAATTTGAATATAATCAGTACTGAAAACGGACATGTATGTAAAATATGCGTCTGTTGAGGTTACAGTTCAGTGTTGCTGCTTCCTCTGTCCATCCTGGAGTGACATTTAATATGAAGCATAACAAGTAAGATTTGCTGGCTTCTTTCCTGACATTTGAACACCCAGTTTAATAAGTCAAAGAAAAAATATATAAATATATTTATTATTATTTATTGATTATTACCCAGACATAATGTGAAATGCACTTTGTGTGAATGCTCTTCTTTATAGGACAGTGTTGAGAAGCTTGCTTGACTCTAAAGCATACAGATTGTTGCCTTTGCATCGATAAGTACAACTACATGCGCAGAATGGAGAATGTTATGTGATAGTGGGTGGTGTGAGGTCTGTCACTCCAGTAAATCTGCTCTCACTCCCTCCACCAACCAGGCCTGACAGTCTCAAATACACTCTATGTTAAGAGAAAACAAGCCTCTGTGAGTTGTTACATGTATTAATTTTTGTTTTATGTATTTATACATTTGGAGTTTGCACAGTGGCACAGTTGCCATTGTGACTTTGCAGTGAGAAGGTTTTGGGTTTAAATCGTAGCCTAGGCTCTTGGTGGATGGAGTTTTCATGTTCACAGTGTCGATGTGAAGGTTCTTTACGAGTGTTTCGCATTTCTCCAGAGTCCAAGCAGGTGACTCTTAGGTCAATTGGTATTTTAGTGCGTCTGCATGGCTGTTTGCCCTGTGTGTCTCTTTGGTGCTCCATCATAGACTGGAAAACCCTGTTCCTCACCCAATGACTGCTGACACCAGTTTCCCCCTGACTTCCTCCCTGCAAGAATAAGCGGGTAGACAATAGATATATTTATTTATTTATTTATTTGAGCCTCTTACTGAAGGTTCTCTGCCTCCCTTTCCTCACGTCTTCCCTTAAAAATAAAGATGTGGATAAATCGTTAACATTGTCTTGATATGACTTCTGGTTTTTGTTTCCCACACCAGCATCCTCGTTGGTTCCTATCTGGTCTGAGGAAGTTCTGGAGACGCCCCTGTTGCCAAATGAGGTGGAGTGTACAACAGGCAAACACAGATTTCTTGACAACAATACCCCCATTTCGTAACAATTCAAAGCCATTTCATTCCAACATACGCTCCGTGTATAAACCATGCTATATCTGTTAAAAAAAAAACTAGTGTTTTTGTTACTTATTGAGAAAAACAGATATAAAATGTTCAACTTTCCACTTTTACATAAGCCGTGCAATGCGGCTTAAGAATCGGCTGATTTCATATTCCATCCTGTTCTCTCCTCCTGCTAATAGAATTTATTAGTTGGAGTAATTGTAAACACATGACCTTACAACAGAGATAATGATTAAAAAAATACAAGTAATGATTGGTTGTCAGAAAAGGTACAAGCAAGGGGTCACAAACTGATACATGTATCAGTCCCAGCTCCTTTACATACCTTCAGAAAAACAGATAGGAAATGATGGAAACAGGTGAAATAAATGTAGCAGTAGAATATTTAGAGGTGCAATTGAACAGTTGACAACAAAATAAGAAAAGAAACGAAAAATAAGAGAAAGGGAAAAATGTGGAAAGGGAAAAGTTGCTCATTTCAGTCTGTAGTGGAAGGGCAATGCTTTTGCCTCTTCCTTACTGTCACACTGTGACAATATTTGCAGAGTAAAATCCCATAATGTTCAAGCGTGAAACATTTCGCATCGGAATGAGACATTAATAGCCCACACATACCCCGCGGCAATGGTACACACGCGCACCCCCGCCCTCCTCCCCCCCCCCCCTCCCAACACACACACAGAGGAACACGCGCACTTGGCCATCCATCCAAGAGCGACTGACGGTGCTACGCATGTGACAGCGCCGCTTTTCCACTCGAGCAGGACAGATGCACACACTCACACGCTCTAATCCAAAAATAGGCTACCTGGGGGTCAGAGTGCAGGGCCGTCCTCACGGTGAGGTACCAGAGGATGAAAAGTTAATCTCTCCACCGGTGCAGGAGCGCGCAGCGGGGTTGCTTGCAGCAGCCCTGCTCCCCGCATGCGACCCCGGGACTGTCCACCTCCGTCTGCCTCCTAGCTCATTGTTTGCTCGGCCAATACATTAGCGGCGTCGCGCGTCACCTTGATCGACGAGCGCTCGGAATTTAAATAGCCCCTCAAACACCAATCTGTCACCGTCCTGTGGGGGATAAGGACAAGTGCCTCACTGGCTGACCTGTAGCCACGTGACAGCAGCCGTTCATTGATATCGGTCAGTGCGCGCCCCCTCCTTCCAACACTGATAAGGATAGAGTATAGTTAAAGGTTGGCACGGTCACTTTGGGCAAGGGTGGGTTTAGAGGGCGTTTGTTGGAGAGGACGGTCCCTCGGCCCCTCGGAGAACGATGCCACAATGAGCAGCTTCTTAGACTACTCAGTGATGAGCGGAGAAGGTGGCTCATGCTCCATCAGGGCTTTCCACTCGGACCACGGGATTACAGCTTTCCAGTCCTGCGGGGCTGCTGTCAACAGCTGTGGGGCGGACGAGCACTTCATGGCAAACAGGACTTCTCCTGACAGCCTCCCCCATCAGCCGGCGTCTTACCAGTCTTCTGCAAACACTTTGGGTCTCTCCTACGGAGCCCACCCGGCCTGCAGCTCCAGCTATGGGCCCCAAAGTTTTTGCGCGACGTATAACCACTACACGCTGAACCAGGAAGTGGACTCTGGAGCTGCGTTTCCCCAGTGCGGTCCGTTGATGTTTTCGGGTAACCTACCCTCCCCCATGGTTCCTCAGCACCGCCACGGTTACACTGCCACTCCACTGGGCCAGCTGCAGTATAGCCACGCTGCCTACGGAGGCGGACACGAACAAGCACCCCCTTACCCTGGTGGCTCAAACCCTATGTCACCTCTGCACGCGGCTCACCTGGAGGCTTGTTGCTCACCTCTATCGGAGGGCGCCTCCTCTGCGCAGACTTTCGACTGGATGAAGGTCAAGAGGAATCCACCGAAAACAGGTGAGTGGGGGGGAAATCTGCTTTAAGAGCAGAAAGGATATAACACAACGACGACATTTGATCAGACCGAGAAACGATGGCATCGCTTTCCCTCTAAACGTTGTCAACATATAGCTGAAAAACGAAAATGAAGATTTAGAGAAAGATTCAAGTATTGGTATTTTACAGTTATGCAAAAGGGCCTAAGATGTTCAAAGGTCAAAAGATGTTCCAGATCCTGTTACAGTAGTGGGCATTTTCTCGCTACACAAGTGAAAAGACTCTCTGGACATCTATTGATGTTTATTGATCGAATATGGTAATTAAGCTTGACATTTTTGTAATTTTGGGCAAGACCTGTGGGCTAAAAATCAAAACATTTTCCTGCAACATGTTTTTGTGCTAAATAAAGACAAGGACTAGCTAACCTTAAATGTACGTCAAAAGACGTCGATAAAGATCAATGTTTGAAGGAAACTGCCAACAAGTCTGCTCGGCCTAACCTGCTGAGATATCAGGTTGTGTAACATTGACTTCAATGAGTTCTTTCTTTCTCAGATAACTAAATTCCAAATGAATTTTTTGTCACTCACATATTTGCAACTTTAAATCTTTAAGGAGAACGCAATGGCGTACGTTGATTAGAATACCAGTGCTTCTTTTATTTTTGCAAGAGAAGCCATCAATTTTCTGGTGCGTAAAAGTGGTTCCAGATGCGCAAAACAAGACTGGCTTTATTGGGGGCATTTCAACTGTTCTTTATGGTACTAAAGAAAACAGGATAAAGCCGTCTCTTCTGTCTGCAGGACGATCCGGGGAATACGGTTACGCGGGTCAGCCGAACACAGTGCGGACCAACTTCACCACCAAGCAGCTCACAGAACTGGAAAAGGAGTTTCACTTCAACAAGTATCTGACGCGGGCGCGGCGAGTAGAGATCGCGGCCGCGCTGCAGCTGAATGAGACTCAGGTAAAAATCTGGTTCCAGAACCGGAGGATGAAGCAGAAAAAGCGCGAGAAGGAGGGGCTGCTGCCGGCCAAAGCTCCCCCCGCAGAGCGGGAGGAAATCATGCCGGAGAAAATGGACGATGCAGCATCTGAGAGGTCGACCTCATCTTCCCCCTCAACTCCCTCCCCCTCATCCTCCACCGTGTCTTCCACGGGCACTGACCCTTACGCCTCCAACTGAGGACCAACTCTTTACCTCTTTAGGCCACGAGAGCCTGACCACCAAAGTTAAAGATTGTTGTGAATAATATTCGCGTGTACATTTATAAACTTTTGGGACATTTCCCCACAACTCGGACAATGGCTTAAAAGTTTTAGGGTTGTTGTATAATCACTAACGTGTCTGCACGAAGCACTATTGTTCAGTGATGATTTGAAAATGTGTTTATTTGCTGGAAACGTGGCTTCCCATTTACAGAAGTAAGTGTAGAAGACTGCCACCCTATACCCTGACCCAGTGCTGCTTTATTTAAAAATAAAGAGACAAATCTGCACACACACAAATACCTCAAAAGAAAAAAAAGAAAGAGAAAAAGAAAAAGAAAAAAAAAGTGCCAAATTTGTGCACCACCGGCCACAGGCGATGCTGTTAATGGGGCATCACGCAATCAGCGAGATGACCTCGTTTATTTATCGTTAGTGAATGAATAGTTACAGGAGCTGTTTCATCGCTGTCACTTCCGTCTTTTATTTTGTCAGTGTGTGTGTGTGTGTGTGTGTGTGTGTGTGTGTGCGTGTGTATGTGTGTGTGTTGACTGTTTGAATGTACTATATGGGACTTGCATGGTATGTAAAGCCTTCATGTATCACCAGTGGGGCGCTGAGTTTTATCAGTTGCGGAGCCGGTCCTTCAGGGCTGTGAAAGGCTTTTATCTGCTATTCCATTTAATCAAGTGGGACGAATGTAAAGTGTTTTTGTCCAAAGAGGCGCTTACGGGTCAATCAAGTGTATTAAAGTACGTTTAAATATAAATCTTTTCCTCTGTGTCACTTTGGTTTTCTTTTTTTGGGGTTTTGTTTTGCCTCCTACGGGGTAGACATTGGGAAAGATGTAGCGTAACGTGGGGACTTAAAGCCGTCAAGCAGTCTATCGAATCTAAATCCGCTTGACGTATGTTTTAAAGCAAGAAGACAAAAAAGACAGAGGAGAAATTACAGAAACTCCACGTGTCTGTTCACCCGTCCGGTCCTGTCAATGTATGCGGCCTGGCGCGCTCCCGTCCCTGGAGTAAACGGTTATTGGCATAATAAAGGCATATTTATCCGAGAGCGAAGATGTCAGCGTCTTCTATGATGGCAACCTTATCGAGCTCCCAGCTTACTGAGGGGACAAAAATATATTGATTGAAACATCGAGGTTACGGCCATCGACTGATGTCACAGTGTCAGTTCGGCTTCTGAAGTTCACTAAGTTACACGGGGGTGTCATCATGCCAACCTCATGACAAGATAAACTGTGAAAACTTACACCTACACCAAATAATAATAATAATAATAAAGAGTACCTTTAACAATAGCCATTCTCTCGGGTTTACAACCTAATTTTCAAGGAGATGACCTGTGAGGGGGAAAAAAACCAACAAGTCTGATCGGCTATTCGACACCCTGCGAGTAAGAACATCTTCGCGGGTTTTGTGTTGTTGTTTTAATTCCTGGTGTGCAGGATGCACGTCCAGTTTGCCTTAAAAGGACAGAAAAGTCCATGAAAGACGCGTGATTAATGAGCGCAGTTCACCTTTACCTTGGATCCACCTGCAGAAGCGGCTGTATTTGAGCTGCAGAGAGTCTCTGGCACAGGCGGCCTCAGTCCAATTCAACTCCACACATGGGTAAGTCGAGTAAGTTAAGTCGCTCTTTTGCTTGTTTGTTTTTTCGCACGTAATTGATCAAACGCACGCCTGGTTATGTCAGAGCGCGTTTCTTATATTAGGAAGAACATTTGTTGTTGTGAACGATGGCAAGGTTATTTGATATCTGCAGACGCCCTTATTTTAATTTGTTTTATATAAATAGTTTAGTGTACACACACTTGTTGCTCAAGGTGAGAGTCCGTTTCGTTTGTAGGGCCTCTTTGAATTACTGCGACTAACCGAAAACGTGCAACATGCAGCGGGTTTACTGTCTGGTTTGTGCTCAAAAAGAAACCAAATATGCAATTTTGAAACATAGTATCGCCCCGAAAGAATTACACATGCACAGATGCAAACTATTATACAGTTTGTGGCTAATATGTTAATGAATACTACAAAGAAAAACTTAAGCAATTACTCCTTAAAGTTTGTTTTAAAAAATCTATTATAGTCATAACCAAATTAATCAATTCAGTCTATCTTTTTTTACCGTTTTGAATTGAATAAAAAAAATTATATTTTCAAAAATAATTCAATTGAAATTATTGTAAAGGTCTCTTAAATGTAAATATTTGCTAATAATTCGAAAATGACTTAGTTACAGTTTTAAACAGGAATGTTTAAGTAGGTCAAATTATTATTATTATTATTATTATTATTATTATTATTATTATTATTATTATTATTAGTCGCAACAGAAGTGCACTAATTTGTCTTAAATTCAATTTAAATTAATTTAAATGACACCATTTTACACCACTTAAATGCAACCAGATGTGATTACGGGACAGTTTCACGGCAGATGTGTTACCTTGTCTGGTATAAATGGAATGGAAAAAGTTTCTACATGTGATTTTATACAATCTCCCTTCCTCTATGGGACCTTGCGCACCCTATGAGTTGCAGCCACTCTTGTGTCCCCCCGCCCCTGCTGCAGCAGGGAGGACAGCAGGATGCCAATTTTCATCCCGTAGCGTGCAGCGCTGCAGGATCCTCTCAGAGTGAAACCCAGCTGATTCTCAAAAGAAAAGGCCGAGCATTCAGGGTCAATCCTCGGTCACGGCTTCAGTTTGTTGTGACAGCACCATCCTAACCCCCCTCAAACCTAAACTGGAGTTTAAACACCCCGGACAGGGCAAACAAACCTGGCTTGGACGGCCGCTTTTAAACGAAACTCCGAAGTAAAAATAATTAGCAGACCGATGCAAATGACAGAAAAAGGAAAGGCGTCACGGGAGAGGACTTCCCGACGATCCTGATGGTTTCGATTAAGGCCCAGAGATAAACATATGGACGATGACAGATGCTTGACTCGAAGCATTGAGACGCCGGTGCGGAGTAATAAGAGTTTGAACCATTACGACGGAATACGAAATATATATATATATATACATTATATTTCATACGATCTGGTAAAGTTTAGCATAATCGGGTTTCAGGCATTTGAACTAGGAAACACCCCGAAATAATAATAATAATAATAATAATAATAATAATAATAATAATAATAATAATAATAATAATAATAATAATAACAACGTATTTTTTTACAATGAAGTATATTTTCTGACCAAACCGCTCATGAATATGTTTCCAGTCAATATAATTTTAGGCATAACTTTAACATCTGATTATTTTATCAATCACAATCAATAATCAATAATCCAATGATATATATATATATGTATATATATATATATATATATATATATATATATTATTTTTTTTTTTTTCTTTTTACATGTATTTGTGATTTTATTTTACAGATGTTAAAGTGTATTCTTCCAATCGAGCCATTAATTAAAAAAAAAAAAAAGAACCTGAGAGCAAACAGCTTTTTAGACCAGAGCCCACACACTAAGACAGGCAGCAACATGTGCAAAAGTATTTTTCCATGAAGTAAAAAAACCGGTTGCAAGTAGCAGAGGAGGATGACTTTTGATGTCCAGACACATACATTGAATGTTATAGAAAAAAAAAGTCAAAGTGCATTTTTATTTTGTGGAACCAGATGTTTCAAGCTTTGGATCTCAGGTTCTATTTTGTATTTATTTTTTCTTTAAATCTGTGTCTGTGTACGCTATACTAATTATACAGAAGACTGACAAAGTAAGATCATATACCATATGTTCTGTCTTAAAAATTGGATGCATTTGTATTCAAATTTTCCATATAAATTCCATCTCACCTCTATATCAATTGTGTTTACATAATAGTTGAAGAGGCAAAATCGCATTTCTTTATTGTCAGTCTGAAATATTATGTCGTAAATAAGCAGCAAGAAAAAATGTGGTTCCATGTACAGGTTAGAACTTGGTTTGCAAAGAAGGTTTTATTTTCTCCACATACACAGCTCTGTAGAAAGAGTCTAATACAAAAGGGTCAAACACTTTCTTCTCTCAGAAATATCTTTCTGAGTCTCGTACTGACTGCTCAGTTCAAATAGAGAGAGGTGGAAACCCAGCGAAGCAGCGATGTAGACAGACAGAAGCCACTCATCATGCTGGTCCAGGTATTGGCACATCTGCTCAAACTGACCACTTCCTTGGTGTGATTGGCAGACAAAATGAATTCCTCCATCGACAGATGTGCGACTGAGGCAAATGGATGGATTGGCAGAGTGATGGGGGAAGAGAGGGAGATGACATCATGAAATCAGTTGCTGTGTGCTCCTATGGTAGGTTAAGCATGCCGGCTAAAGTGAGAGACAGAGAAGAAGGGAAGGGGGATGTGGTTGACTGGATGGAGGAAAAGCAGAAAATCTGCATCTTGATATCAGCACTCACCTCCAGGAGTTGTCTGTGGTTTTCTTTGTGCCGCGCTCCGCTCAGCTCAGTGAGGCACTCTGACTTGGGGTGCCAAACGGAGGTACACAGAGAAATGTGAAAACAGGAGAGCACAGCCAGGGTACTTTGATGGGTTAGAGGCCCACAGGAGGAGCCAAGACAAGGAGCATGTAGGCTGGATAGTGGTCCACAGACACAGGGTCCATCCATCACACATGTCCTGACCTCCAGTTGACCCTGGCATTGGAGCCAATGAGGCGCCCTCAAACCCTAAAGAAAGAACCCCCCCAACTACACGTGCACACACACTTATCTAGCCATACATACACGTCCAAACACACAAGAGATCGGGTGACACAGAAAGGAGCCTGGATGCTCTTTGTGTAGGGCTCCCCAGTTTCCAAGAATCCTTTGTTGACAGTTTTTCTTACTAATGTGAGTACCAACACCTGAGAGACAGACAGATGTACACTGGCACACACATTCAGGTAACTACTCACATATTTTACTCTGAAAAGAAAGAGCAATGTCCTAGCAGTAGCTAATAAGTAATACTTTCAGTAATAAAAGTGACCTACAGGACAGAAAAATGACTACAACAAACTCAATATTCATCATACAGGGCTTAGGTCAAGATATATATTTTTGATCAGTATTGTGTGTTGGTAATTCTGTCTCTATCATTTCGTATCTTTTGCTGTTTTGGTTGTTTTGTTCTTAGTCAGACCCAGATATCATAATCACACAGCATGCTAAATTTGGGCCTCTATTGATGCATCCGGGCGACTGTTTTTCAGTCGCTAACTCAAAAAAACAACAAAAAAAACCCATCAGCATTTCATTCATATACACATTCAACAATACCTCTCGGAATTCATTGTAGTTGTTCTCCTATCCATAATTTCTTATCCATTTCTTATCCATAATTTCTATCTTATAATTTCTTATCCAACAATGTTATCTCCACTAACATTGTCTTTTGAGCACTTGATGATTTTGGCTGAACATTAGATCTGTCTTGTGGGTGGAATTGTTGAGGTTCATTTAAAAATTGAGTTGTTTCCTGGCACAAACCTGGCTTATAGGCATAGTCCCTGAATATTCATTAGTGTTGAGGTCATTTGCAGCTTTGCCCATCCCAAAGCCACTTCTCAAGAACACTTGACATACGTTTGGAGCACTGTGTTGTTTTACCTATACAGAACTTGATTTGAGGTGATGATATTCCATTCACTCCATGCCATATGGCTTTCCCTCTGGATGCTGCCACCACCATGTTCGAAATGATACACAGTCTTCTTTCAAATCGCCTATTGAATATATCAGCCAACAAGCCAAAATGATTGTCTCTGATGAGACCTTTGTCTTATCTGACCATAAGACCTTTCACCTGAAGATATCTGGCTTGTCTATGGGAGCAGATGTAAATTTCAGGGTGAGAGCTTGTGTCAGATGGCAGGAAGTTAGGAACTTCGACAGCAATATAAAAAAACCCAATAATCTTACCACATATAACATCTCAACCATGTGTATGAAGTACTCTTGGTTGGACAATGATTTGTGTAAAGATGAGTGGTGAAATATCTAATAAGAATTATGCCAGACACATATTAAGGGCAATAAAATAATGAACAGATTAAAGAGTACTGTCAATGTGCAACTTCCTATTTAAATTGTAATATTTTGTAAAATCAACTCCCTATTAAAAACAAAAATACTTTGAATAACTAATTGACACTTCAAATTGATGACCACATTTATGCTCATAAAGGGTGCAGGAAAGTCTCCTCAGAACCACAATTGCATTTTTGTAAAATCCTGGTTCACCCAGTGTTTGACGCGTCCGTCTTGAAATCTGTACTAACATGTTGGTGCAGCAATCCACCGGAAGGACAGCAGCTGCATGCACATATAAAGTAACAGATCTGATGAGTAGGAAATGTGGGTCATTTGAGTACCCACGTTTCCTGGGAATGAAATCCTTTTCCCAGAAAATTGTAGGAACTTTCAAAATTCCGTCAGAAACCTTAGAGTGTAAATTGTCTTGCAGACACATCCAAACAAACATGGTTTAAATTTTGCTTTGAGTTATGGAGAAAGATACAATTTTAAACAAAGCAGCATTATCCGAATGCTGTCAACCAACTTTAAGATTTATGTACTAATAGTAATGATCTGGTAGCAAACTGTGTT